AAGGGGAGCTTCCGCGATGGAAAACGGCCCTCGAACTGTTACGGTTTCCTCGATCGCAGCGGAGGCGGATTGATCCTCGTCAGGGGCATCGGGCGCGATACCAGAGGCGACGACGACGTAATCTTTGCTTTGAATTGCATCCGGTCGAACCGGGAGGATCCGCCGCGTGCAATTTACGACGACGCGTGTCTCGCTGCGGCGTTCTATTATTTCGCGACGGAGCGGAGAGAGCTTTCAGGCCGCGGAGAACAGCTGTCAGACGGAGCCAGCCGAGTGGAAAGAGAATTTCCGAGAGACGAGCGCCCCGGTAGTCGGTCTGAACGGCTGGCGACTGCATCTACGCGAACCGGACTATCTTTGTTGCCGGTTGAAAGCAACGGCAGGAAGAAAGGACGAGCAACCTACAACGAGACCTCCACCTGCCTCGCCCCGAAATCGTTGCGGTTTTTCCCCGTCGTGTTCCAAGCCCGCCTCTACGTGCAATTTTTGTTACTCGTAACACCCATGATTCGATCCAAACATCTGACGATATTCGATACTTTGAATATCATCTTTTTTTCTTTTCATTTTAACGTGGTCTCGATGTATAGTTACGTCTGCATTATACGCGATACAAAAAAAAGGGGGATATTTTAAGCGACGCGAATAGCATGTCTGGCGAGAAGTCCTCCAGGGCCTTGCAGGGTTAATATACTCTTCGGACTCGTTTTGTTTATTTTAGTATAGTCGAAGACGCGGAGTGGCAAAGGGGGCGTAGGTTTGCCCGACACTGATTCGAACAGGGATCCTTCGTTTGCCAGGCCAGACTGCTCTAATCGAGTTACCCAGGCTACCAACAGGGCTCCTCCTCCCTGTGTCTGGTGCTACGGAAACTGAATAATATTTGGTGATGTTTTGTCACCAGCAATTCATTACTATTCCATTAGCTGGCTCCCATCCCGTGTCTCATTTAGACCGTGAATATGTTTCCGGATTTCGGATGCTCGGGTTACAGTGGCAGGCCTGACAAGCGAAATGCCCTTTATCGGAATTCGTTAAACTTGGCGTTTCGCGGCTCCGATTTTCATCGCGAAAAATTTTAACTACGCCCTCGTCACCGAATGATCTTCCTCGTTAAATGTCATCACGAATATTCGAAAGAATCTCACGGGTCTTGGTATCGAAAATGGACGAACTGTATTCGCTAGTTTTCGAGATAATCGAATCCGAAAATTTGGCCGACGCGTTCGACCATTAATCTCTTTTTCCACTCGCGACCGCTTCCAACCCCATAAATTTCCAACGTTGATTTTCTCGGAAACGAGGCCCGAGATTCCGTCGCGAGCACTTCTCGCGCAAATTGTCGCAAGAAGCGAGCCACTACTGTGACAACTTGTTGCGTATTCTCGAATCGTATGCATCGTTTGGTACGCGAAAAATTTATTAAGCAACTACGTCTCCGCGCTTTGTCGCGGCACGAAACAAAGAGAAATATTATGGTCCGGTGAATCGTATCGAGCCGTCCAGCGGAAGTGGATGAAAAATCGAAGGCAAGATCGATCGGTAGGGACGGGATTCGACCGCGCACGGTCGTTAATATCCTTCAGTGGCGTTTCTGTCGCGGTCTGAAGTTCCGCGGAAGCAAGAACCGCGGAAAATGACATTTTACTCGTTACGGGGGGCGGTCCGGGTTTCTCTCTCTGTTGGTCCTTCGGTTCCTGGCGCATGCTGTCCATTACGGTTACATGTATGCGCGTGCACGGCCAGGCATAGGATATAACGATAGCGCGAGCTGGGTCGTTTAAATCCCTCTTCATCCCCCTCCCGGCGGCGAATCGCAACTCCAACGATATTTCATCCCTTGCGGTGGTGCGCCCGTTCCGCATAATATCAAAGGGAAGCTCTCGAAAGCTCGAAAGAACAGAACGACTGCGGCCGAAAATCCTTCCGAGCAAGAAACTCTTCTCGTGCATCGGCCGGCTGGCTTTTCTCCGGAACGTTTCCCCTTGTCTCTGCTTTTCCTTTTCCAGCGTTACACGCGGACGATATTCCGACTCGGTTCCGTCGCCCCTTTGCGCGAAATAATTGCAACCGTCGAGCACCGTCGTCTTTCCAATCTTTAATGCATCTTCCCTGGAACGTGTAATTCCAACGGAATGAAAATATCGTAGCATTTTTAAATTCCCGTGTATACGTGCAGTTTCAACGTATAAATGATGTGCAACGACGGTGAACTCGATCCTCGAAACGCCAGATTTAAATCGGCCTGTAGAGATGCCGGGCAACGATACCGCCTGGCAGTCGCGAACGCAATATAGATGCCTCCGGGGTCATTTCTGTCGCGTTGAACTCCAGCCACGGCGAACCAAGGGGAAGATTGATAACTTCGGACTAGATTCACGAGCGGTGGTCCAAACATTCCGTGACAAGAAACCGTACTTGGACGGCGCGGTGGCGTGGTTTCTTTCCCCGACGTTTTGGCGCGATACGCGAACCTTCTTTCAACCCCCTTTCAATGTTGATTAAAATCACCGGTTTCCGTATACTTTTTCACGCCTGAAAATAACTCGGAGGAGCATTGGATCTTTCGTACGAGCTCGTAGCTCGCTGTGCAAACTGTTTTCTATACCGCGAGACTTTTCGACTCCTCGTCGCGTTATTCGAAACGCGTCGAATTATTATTATTCCGCGGAAAATGACAGAAGGGTAGCGCGAAGAAACTCGATAGGTGAGAAATGACGGTTCGTTATCGTGGACGCGCAGTCGCCATTATTCTCGTACGCTTTCATCCACGGTCGGTTCGATGAAAAGCCAGCGCGACGCCTGACGGGGGTTGCTAATTTCGGAGCGCAGGCACGAAACCAAATTTTCTCGCGACGCGTCACCAGCTGAGCAATCTTTGGCTGTGCTTTACGCGCGTACGTACAAGCTCGACGCTTGCCAACTGCCGAGAATCCGCTCGCGTCGCTCGCTTTGCTCCTATTTACCCGCCAGAGTAAAACAGACGATATTTAGGCCCTCTTTGTTATTTTTTCAACAGAGAACCGTGACTCCTTTCGCTTTGAAATTTTGCACATATATTCAGCGGTGTTTCGAGCATGTACGGTATTTTTTTCAAGTAAATATAACGCAAATTGCACGAGCGACAAATTATCAAAGAAAGTCCTGTTAAGGGATCCCTGGGGGAGTCTTTGGATTAGAATTCGCGGAACGATCGCTCGTCGGACCCGCGATACCATCTCGCGATTTCAATTTACATTCAATTTACGCTTCCCGCGACTCGACGTCGAGCGACGGATTCGACGATCGAAAGAGTTCGGAGCGACGAACAAAAACGCCCCCTTTTTTTCTTGCCACGGTGGGCGTGCGTGGATCTCGAAAACGGACCGGGGATATCCAGACGATCCTCCGCGAGCGTGGATCAAAGCGGCGTCGGACGCCGGAATCGCTTTCATCCATTCACGGGAGGAATTTACACGGAGCCGGCGGCGCGTGGGCGTGTTCGTTGTATTTCCACGCGTGTCCCGACACAGGGTATTTAGCTACACACGTTTAGTTAGCCAAACACGGGCCTACGCGCTGGAAGGAGAGTGTAGGGCCAGACTACGCCAATGAGGATGCACGTGCGCCCGCACGTGAACTCCGAGCCCCTTCAGATTAGGGGTGTATTTGCTCAGAGTTTTTGGGATATCTTGGGGGGATAACTCGTGGACGTTTACCGTATATACTACGAACCTTAAAATTAAATTAAATTCCGAGATAAAATCGGTGGAGGTTCTCGTACAGAGTCCAGCGTTTTACGATGATTCGCGTTGCAAGCTCGCGGTGGTCGTTGATAGGCGAACCAGCCGGACGGGGACGCGTAGAAAGACGGAGCAAGAGAGGGAAACAATTAAGTGGAATTCTCCGGGTGGAAGGGAAGTCCCTGACCTGGTCACCTAAGCGTTCTTCTCTCTTCTTTCCTCGCAGCTTCTTGCGGCGTTGCGTTTATGTCATCGTCGGGGCTCGGCTCTCTCTCTGACGCGTAATTATCCAAACACACGGACCTCCCGGTGCTCTCGGGACCCCTTTGACACCGCGAGTCGACAGAAATAATGTTCCCCGGCACGCTGAAAGGCTCATAATCCCTTTTTCATCCTGAACGGAGGCTTCTCGCTCGAAACCCAACAGCAATAGCTACCAGAGTCGATTCACCATCGAAGACGATTAAACGCGCACGATAGACAAATAAGATCGCATCGAGCATGCGTTTACATTAACTCTTTTTCTCTGTCGTTTCTAATTCTAATACGTCGATCGTTTGGCGCTATCGATCGTAGCTCGTCCCCGAGATTCGAAGAAAGCGCAGCCTCCTGGCGCGCGTCGGCCCGAATTAATGATTTTCTTGGAAAATTGCGATCGAGCCAGGTGCATCGGGCGCTCGTTAAAGAACAGGCGCCCGGGTGGCACTCGACGCGCGATGCTCGGCCTGAAAAAGGGCCCCGGCGCGGAACAAGCGCGCCTGATTCACAGCGCGCTCGTTAATCGCGTTAAGTTCACACCCCCCCCCGATCCCCACCTTCCCGCCTCCTTATTAAACCGCGATTTGATCTCATTGTCCTTGAGGACAAAAGCCGACGCCGGATCACAAACCCGTGCACGCGTCTTTGTGCCGACTATCTGTTAAATCGTACCCACCGACGATCCGACCGTCTTACACCGGTCGAACATCAATTTCTGCCTCGCAACAACCCCGTAAACTCCACCAACTACCTCGTTGCCTCGCATTAATTGTCGCTGTGCACGGGAAATATAAGTAAAACGGGACGAATTGTGTTTATCAAAGCATGTGTGCAAATTGAGATTGATATCGGTCAATGGGCCATGTACTTTTGAGTTTTGGGGGTGGATAACCCTCTCTCGTGGGAGCAGTTGTTCCCGACCCAAGGGTTAATCCTTCGAAGAATCCCTGAATGTCTGTTTAGAAGAATTGTTATTTGAAGGGAAAGTCGTTGGCATAACCGGCGTTGTCGTGCTTGCAGGTTAACCCGGACGCTCGGGACAGCACGACGCAGCAGATCCAATCGAAACTGGGCAACTATTCTCTGGTGAAGCATCTCCTGGACGAGCCGAAACGGCTGATCGGCATCGAGGGTGTGCCGCCTAGCCCTGCCCCGTCCCCGTCGCCCTCGTCCCTTCGAACGAGTTCCAGCTCGGTCGGCACGAATTCCAGAAGCTCGCCGTCCGCCCAAGAATTCAAGAAACCCGGTGGACCTCGGTCCGGCTCGTCGTCATCGTCGTCCACGTCGTCCTCGTCGTCGTCGAGTCATCAGCGCGGCGGTTTCGTGAAACCGGCCGACGGGAAGCCACCGTACGGGGGCAGGGGCGGCTACCCCGGACAGCCGGTGAAGCACGGGAGCAACAACAACGATCATCGCAGTCACGGTTTATTACCCGCCAAAGGACCGCCCCCGAATTCACCCGGGAACGGTACGCTCGTTGGCAATTCGAATATTGGGAATTCCAGCGGCAGCAGCAGGCTTCACTGTGCCGGCAGCAGACTGTCCAGGTTACCTCTCGATAACGTGAGTATCGATTTCCATTGTTTCGTGGCCACCGCCGCCTCCACCCCCTCATCACCCACCCTCCTCCCCCTCGGCTCATCCTTCCAGTCGTTCTTGTTTACACGAGTAAAATGTCGCCGACGGTGCGTGTATTCTCTGCTACCTGACCGGTGTGTGTCTCCCGCTCGGTCGGGCCCGTTGCCAACTTTCGCCGTCCACCTTTTCGCGATCGCTTTGTTAACGCTCCCGGATCGGCCTTTATCCACCGATTCCGCGTACACCGTTAAACGGGACAAACCCTGTACCGTACGGGAATGCTAAGATTAGATCGGGGCCCCATTGTTCTTGCGGCGAACCGTCAAGAATTACTGTTTACTCGATTAAATTCCTGTCCTCGTCGCGGACGCCTCCCGCTAAAACTCCTCTCCTCCCGGCCACTCGATTTGTCACGGAATCATTTCTTTAGCGCGCAAGAGAATTCACAGTCGAGTCGTGGGTAATAACTTGCCGATCGATTTAATTATTCGATACGGTCGCGTCTACGAAAGATTCAAGAACCGAGATTCACAGGATGCTGGGGACAATAGACTTAGCGCACCGTTTTCAGCCGTTTGTCGTCCGTCAGCGGAGATTCGTGGGTCGTTGCATTGTACGGGCACCGGTCTCGACGGATTAAACCCGGTACAGAAAGGGTACAAATGGAATACGCTGCCAGAATTTGACCATCTATTTCAGGGACACCCAGTGTAGCGTCAACTCTAGTTAGGTAGACCGCTCCGCGACCGCAACTCGCTGGCGAGCACGCGCTCTCGATTCTCGCAACGATTAACTCTCGACGGACTCCCAAACCGACTAATCGATTCCTCCTCCTCGAGTTTCTCGCGTCTTTAACGATTACGATGACCACTTAAGAACACAGTCCCCAAGTCGAACCGGGAAATATCGAAGCATGGGACGCGTTTCGTTTTATCGAGGTAGGCGCGGGACGTTGTAACGAGGCTGGTGATTCGATAACGCGTTCGTCTAACGGGGAAAAGTTGTTGCGTCCCCGCGGGGGTTACCGGTGTCGGGCTCAAAGGTTTAATCGGCGAGAAGTGACAATAAAGAGGTTATTACCGACTCTCGCGTTCCATCGAGGCCGCGACGGAGTCCCTTCCGGGGTCGGTATTCGATGAAAGCATCGCGGCGACAGGTTCGTTGACAGGAAACGAATTGCTTTCCAATGGAAATCCCGCTGGAGGACTACACGGCGCGTGGGGGAGGGGGTGGGCTCCGAAGGGGGTTGGAGTTTCGTCGAGCCCTATTACGCGTGACTCCTCGAGGTGCAAATTTCATTGAGATTGACTATCGATCGTGTCTTCCCCGTCGTGTCTCTGTTCTCTCCTCGAGGCGCGTTCGAGAGAGTGCCTCTCTCTCTCTCCCGACGTACTTATACAATTAGGGTTGGCTTGGAGAAACGCCGACGTCCTCTCGACTCTCCCATAGTCGAGAAAATTGATTCCCTGCCGGTCCTCTTCCCTTTTTTCCCCCCTCGTTCTTCCCACGACCGGCCCGTCTCTTTTTCGCCGACTGGTCCCGTCACGTATCGCTCCAATCGTCCGTTCACGAGTCGTTTGCCGTTCGTTTTCATCCGCGAAATTAGCTCGAAATTGCGCGCGGGACCGAACCCGGAGGTAAAAATAGAGGATGGGGTGCCGGTACCGGTCTTATTTTCCTAATGAAAACGATACGTTCGCCGTTACTTATCCTCGAAAAGGAGGACAGCCGGCGAAAAATGCCTAACCCTGTGTTTGCTCTTCCGTGAGAGAGATTGTATGGTTCCGATGCGCTCAAAAGCAATGGGAAAACTCGGTTCCCATGGCGAAGGTTGCTCGCGGTTTCTCGTCGCATCTTCCGCTTCAATTTGTCAACCGGCTTTTCCGCTCGTCACAATTTTTCACGCTCCGTTCCCGCCTCGCGATTATCCGGCTTCCTCGGTTTCCCCGGCGCCGGTGTCCTCGAGCTAAAAGTCGTATCCCCCGCGCTCGATCCGTTTTATCCGGCCCCGCGACGAGGTCCACGCATTTTCTCCATTGTCTCCGCGTTTTCCTCTTAGAAACGACTACCCGACGTAATTCGTAATATCTCCTTTCGTCGTCTCTTCTCCTCGCGCGGTGGGACCGCGCGTTGATTAATGATGATGCGCAAAAACTCGGTGATAAATCGGAGAAAGAACGACGCGAGAGTTTCACCGGGAGGCGCGGATTTGTCGCCAAGAACGAGATCAACGTTCTTACGATTAAATTATTCGCGCGCGTTGAAGTTTAATTGCACGCGTTTCTCGCTGTTTCAGGGGACGAGTTCGAGGCCAGGTCCGACCGAGAATTCAGCCGATTTGGAGAACATTCTGAAGGTAAGGTCATGGTTGTTTTTTAAACAAGCTTATGCAAACCACATTTATTCACCCTCTATTAAAATCTTTGATTCCTTATCTAACTACGGTCACACGGAGCGTTTCTAGACCACGCTAAATATTGAAACTAAAATAGTAAAACTCATGCACGTGGTTTCAATTCGATGATCACAGAGTACTCGCTGTCCTTATCGGTTCTCGCAAGGATCTCGAACGTCGAAATTTGCCTTGGGCTTAGCCGTGGTTGGAAGTCGAGTTCTCTCGATAAGTCAATTTTCTCGGCGATACGACGCTATCTCTGTCGCGGTCGTATCGCGGCTGTCGTTCAACCGAATCGACCCGCCGTGTTTTCGTCCGCATTGGTTTTCGACGCCGATGGCCGTACCGGATATAACGCAATTTCGCGCCGCGCGGAGAGGAAACACTTGGTCGGTTAATCGAACCGACTTTTTTCCCCCCGTTAAACTTATTTGGCCCGGAGCTCGCGTTTTTTCCCGGCTGGATCACGGGTCTCGTGTTTACGGAATAAGTATCCACGGGAAAAGAAACGTCCTGTCCGGTCGATTCAAACGACGCCGAACGACGCGATTATTTATAGAGGCGGCCTTGAAGCGCCGGAGGTTCGATTCGAGTTATTTCGAGCCACGCGAATCCGCGAACACGGCCGTCAAACTGGTCGAAAGTTTGGCCCCGCGGTTCGACCAAGTTGTCGCTTTCCCTCGTTAACCGACGCGGCATTGAATAGTTTACTGGTCCTATATTACCTTATAATATATTCATCCCTTCGCGGAAGGACGCCTCGGAGCACGAACGATAGACGAAATTCGCTGTATTCGAAGCAAGCCACTGCTGCATCTCTTTCGTCCCGAGTCGATCGCGTTTAGATACAAATTAGCGTACAATCCAGTCACGAGATTCGAGTCCAGAGGAAAATTCAATTTTCGCGAGAACGATTTTTCATCGACGGGATAGGGGTGAGTCTCGAAACAATTTGTCGCGTCTTCGGCGATCCGAGCGTGGACAGCAGAAGCAGATAGGTTTGCAATCCGGTTGATAAACTGTTGGCTGACCCAGTTCTGTTGGTGAATAGAGAATAATGATGGCGCGGGAATGGCACGGGCGTCGTGGGAGTCTAGGAACCCGATCTTCCCGACTCCCGCGGACAACGGGAACGAAATGTCCGGTAGCTCTCGAAAACGCCCACCGTTTTAACTCGTTGTCCGACCGTATAACGAGATTCGAGATATAATGGTTACGGGGATCGGTAAAAGCTGCCAGGGGTTGCCGGGCACGAGCGTTAATTAATGGACACGGCTTAACAGCGATTATCAGTGAATTGATATCATTACGGAGCTCCGATATTGCGACACACGCCCGATCGAGTATCAAGGTACAGTGGCTGCGATTAATGTCTTTATTGTAGCCGGTACCAGTCGATGGGCCAGCGATTAATATTCCGTCAACAGGAACCGTAGGCGGTGTGCATTATACCGCGTCAAATTTACGGTGAAGGAATCTGTCGGCGACTCGAACCGCGATCGGGTCGTTTCGATCGTGGATTGTATCTCGATTCGGGAAACCTATCGGTCCAATTTATTTCCTCCGTTCCGAGTCAACGATTCCACGCACGTTCCGTTGCTTCGAGCTCGTATTTATTATTTATTATTCGTAGGAAGAGAGTAAACGTGTTAACTCTATGCAAAACTGAATTCTTTGGAACGTACCATCGAACGTTCACGAATCGAGGATGCGTATTAAAACCGATAGCCGTCGTCCGTGAATCGGGGTTTTTTTCTCGAAATCAGACCTCGGGACGGGAATACAAAAGTTAAAATTGAAATTTCATGGAAATGCATGCAGTTGTTTAGACGCAATCGTGTTAGCAGGCAGACGCAACGTACTGTTGACCTATCAGAAGAATGAATATGCGCCGCCTCGCGTCACAGCGACATTTTGAAGCTGGCCTCGACCTATGGTTACGGCTTTGTACGCATCCGCGAGACAAAATTCTGCACCCACCAATTGACGAAGCCCTTTCTAAATCTCAAGCTATCTTTAGATTGGCTATTCGTTCCGTTCGTTTTTTCTTGTAGTCGAACATAAAAAATCTCGTTTTCGTTTTCTGGTGGAATCAGCCCTTAAGCGATCGGAGCAATGATTCTTAAGATGAACACAAATGAGAACAAGATGTGGCGAACTTGGACTGTAGCAGATACTTGTACCACAGTGACATCGTCGATGTCTTTCTTTTTGGAGGATAGAAACGTTCCACTTACGATTCACGTTCATTTTAAGAATCATTACTGTAGTATCCAGTCTAGAAAGAGACCTTGTAGACCTCGCTCGTAATTTGCACGTTAACGATCGCGCGCGTTTCCTGTTAGTCGCCGTGATCGATCCGACCCGTCGATCGATCGGGGGAGGCCCGTTTCGCGGAAGACGCGGAAAGTTTGACGTCCTTGTTTGCGGAATCACCGCAAAATGGACCATCCGTTCGCGCAGTTTCCGTCGAGAGTAACCGACGTTATCGTTCTCCGGGCTTTTCCACTTTCAGCGCGAATTTATGACGATACCCCGGCGCGGCGGCCGTAGCCGGTGTACGGTTCTAGCTTCGTCGGACTCTCTGCCCCCGGTCCCCGCCGCATCCTCGTTCCAGCGTGCTCCGACCGTTTGGTATAGAAGCACCGTCGAGGCCCATGAATTATTCTCACGGCTCTGCCCGTGGGAAAATACGAGAGTTGCGCCAGTAGGCATCGTAAATGCGGCTGCTAATTGCGCTCGTCGACGACCACCGCTCGCGCTCCGACTCGCCTCCTGGATATCGCGTTCTTTTTCGTCCCGTTCGTCTCTTCTTCCACCTCCGTTTCGGACCCCCCGTGCTTCCCCACCCCACCCCGGCCCCCGGTGCGCGTTTCCCTTCGCCTCTGGCAGCTCGTCGATTAATCGAGAGATTTTCAGCTTCCATTCCGGGCGACCGTCCGCTCAGCCCGCCGGGGATATTTAGCCGGCGCAAACTCCTCCCGGACCATCTCGTCGTTGTTGCCGCAGGATTCCCCGCTCGAGCCGGTTTTTTTTCCACGCTTAAATTCGATTCCCGTGTAGCCCCTATAAATCGTCGCCGGGGCAATCCACTCTCTCGTTGCGCGGGGGCGTCGCGCGCGTCCTCGGTCGCTCTTCGATCGCCGGGAACCGTCGTCGAACTCATCCCGGCTCGCGTGATTTCCCGTCCGCGGCCTGCTTTTTCTAAACCCGCCGCGAAACTCGATCGGTTAACCGTGCACGCCGGGGGAGACAATTAGGCCGAGTTAATAAGGTCAACTCGACGACGTTGATTAAGTTAACTCGCTGCCGAACTACCCCTCCTCCCCGGTGCTCCCGCGTTCGAAAATTTTCGCGTACCTCGACGGGATGGAAACTCTTCTCTCGCTGCCTACGCGCGAACACGCTCCAAGGACGTCGATCTCTCGATCCTCGCGAGATACGTTCCTCGGGTCATTGTTAAACGCACGTTCCAACGAGCAAATAATTAACAATGACGTGTATTGTACGTGCACGAATGTATAGAAGATTTGAAAAACATTAATGGAATTATTTAGCGAAGTTTCTGGGATTGCAAGCTGGACGCGAAGCGGAGAGCTAATTTGCGAATCGTTGCGACGATTTCATCGATGCCCGGTTGCCGGAAACGATGGTCTTTCGGTCGAATCCCCCATTAGGCGTGCACACGATAAAGCGGCTCGTCGCCGTAGGAAGAGTGGGAAAGTTCGAACCGCAAATGCAACGCCGCGAGTTTCCTCGAAGAGCCACTGCACCGGGCATCGGCTATCCGGTAACGGGTTTTCGCTCCTTCTCGCGTACCCTGCATAATTACCGGAAGCTACCTTTACGCTACACGAGGAGCGCGGTTCGCCAGACCGTCGACCGGCAAAGCCTTTTCGTCGTTCACCGAATTTCATCCAAGCGCGACGAATGGAGTGCACTCGAACCACCGCCGTCGCAGGAAACGGATCTTGTCCCTTTGCTGAAAGATCCTCGCGACCAAGAATATATTCGGGGTCGTTTAACCCTTGCGTTCCGCCATATTGTTCGTTCGTACAATTTCTGTCGTGCAATCTACTAGATTTAAAGAACTTTCTATGTATAACAAGACCAACAATTCCTTCGGATGACGTTCAAAATTTGATCTTTCTCCAACCATAATATCACAGACGAGGTATATAGTTCTAAAAAAATCATTTTCAATTGGGAGGAGGGTCAATTACAATCATTTTTGGTGGATAGTGTAAAGAGTTCCTTTGATTGGTCGAGGTACTTTTGTATCGCGTTGCAGTTTGGGGACAGCTTTCGTAAATCACGCGAGGTTAAGATACGCGCGATTTTCTTGCCCCGTAGACGGTGTTTCTAGTCACGCTACGGATCATCGAACTCTTTTGCTTCGCCGGTTGCTAGGAATAAATAATTCAGCGGCCGTCGCGAGGACGAGGTACACGTTATCGTCGCCGCCAGGCTCGCGAAATTTTATCAACGATGCGTTGCTTACGTTTACGGATATATGTGTTCCACATTGCTTGAGCATGCTTTATGCTTGTTACACGAGCAGAGTTTAGGGTCGTAGACTCTTGGACCGTACCACCTTGATACTAACGATCTTTTGTGGTATGATAGAACGCGTATTTCTAACGGTACGCGTGAAATATTGACCGTAGTTGCTCGACCAGAGAATCTCTCACCAAGTCCAGTTTCTACAGAAATATATTCACTCCACACAAAATAACTGACGAGTTAGAGGGAAGTAACGTTCGTCGGTTGACCATTGGCAGAACCCATACATCATAGATCAATGGCTGCTGTCTCGAGCAATAAGTTGTGCCTATATCAAAGGGTTTATCCCGTAAATAATTAAATGTATAAAATAACGCTGGTGTGAGCCGGGTTCTTCTCCTGTCTTCGAGTTCTTTGGTTAGTTTGAAAGTCCACGTCGGGCTGGAAATGATCTGTTGGAAGGTCAACGTTCGTCGATCGCCATCGATCGTTATCTCACGGGTCCATTAGAGGCGGGTCGTGCAATTTCCATAACTCGCGGTCGCATTTCGTGTTCCGCGGGAATAAAGCGTCCCGGTCGACGCGAAGCGTAACTGGTTCGCACGAAATGGTACGTCTCGCGGAGGCCGCGAGGCTGACTCACGCCCTGGAGAATTTTCTCTCCTCTTGGCAAACGCTGCGAGTCCTTTTTCGTTTCGGCCCTGTCGCCAACCGCGGGATGCAAATGGACGGTTTCGCATGCGAGGCACGCGTGTCTCGCATGCTGCACACGAGCGAGCGGGAATAATAAGTCGCGATTAACGACAGCACCGGGGCCCGGTTCGCTTCGTTTTTCCTCTGGATCGCGCGCGAATCCGCGACTCGACCGCCACCCGGATAACTGTATCGTTCGATCCCAACGAAGAGATTTTCCCAACCAACATCGGCGGTGGGACGATAAATATTTTGTTACACGCTATTTGCTCGCAAGCTACATTTTTTACACGATTGACAGACACTGTGTATTTTTCTATGGTTTTCGATCAAATAGTAATAAATCCGGTTGCAACGTGTGTACCCGCAACGATGCAATTTCGTGCGTGTAAACAATGTGTGGGAACCGCACGGGACGAGATACCGGACATTTACGGCGGAATGTTGTTTTTAATCGACGCCCGGTATCGGGTTACGGCGTAAAGAAAATTCAGATTTGAAACGTAGAATCGTATCGTTGGCGGGCATTTTCCAGCGAGAAAATTAGATCGCCAAAGTACTTTGGCAAAAAGTTTCTAGAGACGATGTTAATTCGTATAAATTTGCTGACTGTGAATGGCGGCAAGCGACGCGCTCGCGTCTTTCGTCCGTTGGAAAAACGCGAAGCGGAAAAATATCGAAACGTTAACTCGTAACAATGTTCCGCCGTACGTTTCCGTTCCGGGGATAACGCTGCCATTGCCGTTCACCGTTATATTCACGACGCTCCGCGTTACATTATGCATGATCGTAGAACGATCCGGCACGGTTGCATTATTCTTTTTCGCGGACAATATATTATGTTCCTAGCATACGGTGTTTTCTCGCCGTGCGATGCGGATTTATGCACCCTCGGTTTTTGTTAATCGCCGGTAATTCAAGATGGAATCCACGATAACGAGACAATATTATCGATCCGAACGGTCGTGTGAATTTTCTTGCGATCACGGGGACCGAAAGTGTCTGTCATTTTCTTGGTTTGTAAATGTTTGTTCGTAACGCGTTGGAGGATACTACGAGTCAGTTTTCCCAAGTTTTCAAGCTCACCGAGCAATAGTACGCTTTCCTTTCCCACACTGGACGGATCGAGGCCGAGGAGACATTCCATCCACGTTTCTGGTTCACGTTTCCCGACGCACGTGCGTTATCTCGAGCGTTATTCCCCCCAGTGGGTTCATTTTAACCCCTTCTGTCCCGGAATAATTACTCCTAGGTATTGTCTTCTTATTGGAACAGAAATTATATACGATCCATTTACTCTCTGGAAGCTTAGATGTATTTTATTTCAAAGTTGGATGAATCTTAGAGATATTTCAACGCTGTCAGCGGGCGTTAAACAAACAAATATTTCCAAGTATCCTCGAGGATCCGGGGAACTGGCCAAAGTAATAGATTTCGCCAGGATCCATCCATTTGTTAGTGAATCGTTTGTCCAGGAACTGTCTGGCTATTCGGCTGAAATGTCGCGGTGCGCTGTCGTGCATAAATCACGTGCAACGTGGAACATATAATAGAACTCCTTCCAATAATTCATGCGAGTGATTACCTTGCGAATTGGCATAACATTGACCTGATTTCCTTAATCTTTCGTTAAGGAAACAGGACAGTTATTCCACTCGGGGAGTCTGGTCGATATGAATTATTAATTTTCTTGCGATTTTAAAAATACACGTATCGGCCGGTCAACCTTGTCGGTGAGCTTCCATTCGTCGTAGTCGTCTGAAATAAAAAAGAACAAACGTTTGGGAAGGGTGGTCCGATCGGGAAGCTTAGGCTCGGTTCCCAAGGGAGCAACGAAGAAGCGGAATGTTTGGTGTTCCGTTGCGGCGACACGGGGACTCGGTGGGCTCGAAAAACCCCCATTGGAATTTTCCCGGGCGTATAATTGGTCGCGAGCCCGCTGGTAAACGAGCTAGCTCTCTGTCGGCGATCGCAGGAAGAGTATAAGCACTCGCGACGAGAGAGCCTTTTGTCTCTTGGGTCTTTGTTCGCGTCGACGGATGTCTCGACGGGTCAACGAATCGGTCTCGACGATTCGCTGGTGGAAATGCGTTTCGTTCGATGCGCCCGTGTCGATGCACCAGACTGCATTGTTCGCATGTTTGCGACTTCTAGCGTGTCTCTCTGGCGGTAGGCGCGCGCGCACGGGCACGTGGGCCAACATTAATAGGCACGCTTCCGAGTACCTGGTCTCGGTGTGGGTGATGATACGCGGAATTTGCGACCCTCTCTCCCTGGCCATTGACGTAATCGTGCCCCAGATGCGCTCGGTCTTACGCAAAAGTACTCACAGAGTCATACCGTGCTTGCACAACCCTCGATATGCCTTGGCGAAAAACCCGCCGTCCATTTCGGTGGGAAACCATCCTTCGTCCATTCGCTACGTACTCGAAATCATTTAATGCGGTCTTGCGGAGGAACGGAATAACGCTCGTCCAAGGAAGTGGGAGATCACGAAATTTCCATTGGGAAAAGCTGTCTCCCTTGGCTCGTTTCCCACTTCTCGATAGTCGTTTAGTACCATTCGAATGCTACACACTTGCTAAATCCAAAGACACACAAGCTCCAATTTAAATTAAAATATTTGGAAGCACAGTGTACGCAACGATATTTAGCACTTGCACGTGCCGTGCTAGACGAATCGGGCGATCGTAACTATGTAAATTTTAATCGTGGATCGATCGTCCCTGTTTCAGGAAATGACCATGCCGCCCACGCCTCTGACGGCCATCGCCCAGACGCCGAGGAAGGAGCTGGAGTCAAAGTTCACGTTCAATCCCGTGCTGGCGAAGGTGAGAACTCGTTGTTTATTCACGACCCTACAGGAAATATGTTTCGGGGTTTGACCTTTTGAAATTTCGTGGTCCTCGTTGGTGTATCATCGAACCGGAGGAGAAAACGCCGGGGGGATCGATCGTGGAAACGTTTCGAATCGTATCGATCCGGCGGAGTGTTTCGTGCCACTTGGCACCGCGTCAAGAAGCTCGACTTCGCCGAGACGGACGCTCTTGTTCCGGATAAAGCGGCTTTCGTTCGTGCGCGCATCCATTATAGAAAACCCCCGAACAGTCCGTAAACGCGTGATTTCGGTTTCGCGTCGCGATCGAGCGCTAAACACTCGCCGGGGAACGCTCGAGCAAGAAGAAGCTTTCCGTGCCACTTGGCGTCGCGTCAAGAGTTTCCTGCTCGCGAAAGTCGCGCGAGAGAAAAAGCTCGACCGCCGAAAACCGTCCCGAGATAAAAGGATCAAATTCCAGGGGACGATTCTGCCGGAAATCTCGTCTTCGATACGCGGAATCGCCTAAAGTATTACCCACCTGTGGAGATATAGATATCATGCGCCAGGGTTCGGGTTATGGCGCTTCAAGTTGTTACGTCGTAAAGTTTAAATCGTTTTTTATCAATCGTATGTGTCGGCATGCCTCCGTGATCCGATCGTAAAACGTACGGAGAAAAAAACTCGTCCGCGAGCGCGGTCAATTATTCATGGATGCGAGGAAGCCCTTTCAATTTCTTCTACGATGTTTTAAAATAGATTTGAAATTCGTAAAACGTTACGTAAAATTATATATGCTTTTTCATCGGTCGATTCGAAACGGCTTTCCAACACGCGAACTTATGTCGGACTCTCGGCTCGATAATGATTGGTTCGCGTTTCGAACGGTGTTCGTGCGTTTTTCTTTCCGATAGTTTCGTGTTTTTTGGATGACGAAATGAATCGTCCAATAGCGTGGCCTGATGGCTAGTTGTAAAAAATATATATATGACGTTACCAGCGCGTTCCAGAAATAGCCATTGAAAAAACTCCGCAAGTTTAGAAATCATTTTATTGCGTAGTTGTAAACAGCCTCGCCGATGTCGTGAATCGGCGACGAGGGAAATTCCGCTAAGGATTAGGTCTTCTTTTTACGACCATTCGCCCGTTTACCTGACTTTCAGACGCGTCGTACGTTTAGGGAAAACTTACAAACCCTCCCCGTCGCGTAAAAAGACAACCCTCCGACGCTTTAAACGCTGGTCATAAGAAGCACTTCTCCCGTAATAAATTTTCACAGTCGGAACCGTTTTGATCTATTGCAATTTCGAATAGTAAAATTTTCCAAAGTTAATGACCCAAATCTGCTGTCGAGAACATCTTGTATTTAATTATTTTAAATCTCCCATAGTTTTAGAGATGTTAGTAAGAATATGAGAAAGTGCTTCTTCGAATTTTGTTCGCTTTTGGTGGTGATAATTTGATAATGCGGCGTTGGCAGTCTTCTCGCGGCGTTATTAATATCGACGAATTTCATTTTTCTTTGCAGTTGACCGAGGTGCCGCCGCCGGAAGCCACGAAGCCCCGTAAGTAAACTTTCTACGCTGTATTCTTTCTTCTTCCGTGGTAATCCCCTGTCGAGTGGAAACGCTCGATGGCGCCGATCAAAGTCGGAAATCCTGTTATCCGTTTCAGCTCGAACGTAACACCCGCCGTGGACCGTTCATATCGCGTTTAAAATAAAAATGCTCCATAATTCGAACGGTTCGGAACGAAGGATCTACGCGAGGAGTCTCTTTTTGGAAACAACTGGTTGCCGAGTGCTCACCTGGAGCTAGTTAACATTTATAGTCCATTACGCGATTAAGTTGAGCGGACGAGGAGATTTTTATTGCCAGGCCGTGGAGCCGTTATTATTCTCGACACGCTGTTTAGCGGCTACGAACGGCGGAAACGGATATCGCGGGACAATTTAATATTTTTCTTTCGTGCGAGCTGCCCGAGCTAATTTAATCGTTACCGTTCGCGAGTCCTCGCTTTCGGGGAAATGTTTTACGCGAAACTGTGTCGCGGAAAACGATGCAAACGGGAAACGCGAAACGCGAATCCGTCGCCGGTACCCAGAAACGCTGAACGTCGATTTGCAGTCGGCGTTTTGTCCCTGAGCTTCGCCATTAATTTCGCGTCCCGGTGTAATTTATTCAGGGTGATTCTAGAAACTGGGACAAGCTGTGCACAGCTCTATCCTCCGCGAAGATACGAACAATTGATACAGGTAGAACCATGCTCCCGACGACAGAATTTTTTGTTCGACGGAATTCGTGTGTTTTAAATGTATTAAATTAATTAAGCAAAGTATCACGATTTAATTCCATGCGGCGTGCGCTCGAGAGATCCACCGCCATAATGTTAATTAGTTTATTAGTCGGACGATGAGTTAATTATTATTTAGGAGATGGTGTAACATTACAAAGATACACGAAGAAGCAAAAAAGTTTCCAAACCCCTGTGTGCTTCATAAATAAGTATCTAAAAGTCCGCGTATCTGGTTAATTTATCGCCAGAAAATATGACTCGTATACATATTCATACAGCGTGTTAAATACGTTCGTAAATCACCGGGACGGATCTTTAACCGACCCCGTGTCTAAATTATTTAATTTCAAGCACCGAGATAGCTTTGGACACTTATCGCGCGAAAGCGACATAACTCTGAAAAGTGGAAGGTAAACACTGCTCGTATCGGAAAGGAGATTAGGAAACATTTGGTCGTTTTAATAATTCACACGATTTTAAAAACAAAATAGACACGAGGAGGTTGAGGGCACACGGAAGAAGGATCGATTTACGTAAGCTGGAAATAAATGGTTCCGTTTAAAAGGAACGTTGCGTATAGCGCGAGAAGAAAAAGGGAAGATATCATCGAAAGATAGTCCCCCCGTTGCGCCGTCCAACTTTTTCCTATATCAATTTTTTTGCATCCACGCTTGGAAATGAGCTACAGCCTGTCCCAGTTTCTAGAATCACCGTGCATATAACTCGCTATTCCGCGACGGAGGCGAGCGCGAGAACCACGCGTCTTGCGAGGCCTGAAAAAATGTAGGTTGTTCGGGATGATTCGATAGCTCTGTTATGTTTCTCTGATTTAATAACGCGCCGGAGCTCCCACGCAATGAAGGATAAATTTTCCGTGTCCTCGATGCTGCTGGCCTTTCGACGGACGCGTTTTTATTTCGTCGAACGTCGCGGAAATATTTAAATCAAACGGTATAATAGGCCGCGTCGGTGTGTTATTCGTTTACGGGCGCGGCGGCGAACTTTTTGCGGCCGTTCGATGTTTGCACGCGAAAATACAAATACTTGTTTTAGCTTCCGGGCGTCGGCTCTTGGCAGTTTTGTTTGGCTCCGCGATCAGTTGCGGTGCCCGGATTGTCGAAGGTCCGGGTCCCACGAAAAACCTGTGGATTCATTGATATTCGAGCGTTTCTAAACGGCGACCGCGGGGGGCTTCGAAGCTCGAAAACGGCCGAGGGAGCAGGGATACTGTTTCATGAATTAACCATTCGATGCTCTGCTCTCTCTCCCTTCCGTTTGCCAACGATGCTCAAATATATACCGGCAACTTTGCGACGGGTATTATAGGCGTTCGCTGCCGGTTCTATGCCACCCCTAATCGCGCTCGGGCCCCGCGGGGCTCGCGGTTCGCCACCTCCCGCCTGGGACAAATTTCATTTCGCGCCTTTCGACACCCGTTGGCGACCTATACTCGCTAAAACAAACTTTAATCCCCCTTTTTGTCAAGTCATTTGCAGTGTTGTATTTGATAGAAACGAACCAGAGACAGTCTCGCTTGTAGGATTATGTTATGGCAATAGGCTCGAGTCTCCGTTGAATGGCAAGAGACACAAATGATTAGTAATTCAAATCCGAGAGCACGAATGCTCGTTTCCTTGAAGTTTATGTCACTATTACGTTTCTTGCATTTCACAACATCACCGATGACGGAAAAGAGTTACATCAGACGTTTCCAACTGACCTGGCGTGCTGTCCTTTTCGATGATGTAACTCCGTCGATCATTCGAATTTCGAACAGTCCTTTTACTCGCCGTATCCACGCGCACGAGTCTGGACGAGAGTGGAGGGAACGATTTCCGATTCTTTTAATTTCCAAACCTATTAATCTTTTCAGGACCGTCGGTGATTAGATTGTTAATTCGGTGGAAGACGCTTGAATGGATGGATGGAGAGTGGAATGGATGCACGCGCACCGGGAAAATGTCACGGAAATGGGAAATAAAGCAAGAGTCGATGAAAAGGAAGGAACGGAACAGTCGGAGAAAGCAGAACGTTTCATGTAGGTCGCACGGCGCCTCCTAATTTACGACTCTGTATGGCCCTAACCGTCGAACCGGTGTCTGAAGTATTTCGATGTTGGCACGTAGCTGACATTAACTGTGGTTCGAGAATGTTTGTCTCTGGTGGAAACGAATAGTAGTTTCTCACCCGCTTCAAGGTTGGGACGTGCAGAGCCCGAGAAAATGATTGCTCGTTTGATATTCTGGAATCGTCTCTTGCAATAAAATCATACCGCGTTGTTGCATTTGTTATTTCGATCATCACGGCGCGTCACAGTGCCTTTTGATCAAAAACCCCCCTGCCAAAAGGTTTGTAATTCTTCTTATATGTGTGCTCTAACGGGGTAACCATCTCTCTCAATTCTGGGACCGTGATAACCATCTGATAATTAGGAGATCGCGAGGATTTCTGATTAGACTATTTTCACGAGGCGCAGGGGCGAGGTCTCGAATCTAATCTCGGGATCTGGCGCTTCCGGTCGGTTCTTGGCTTCCTAATTTACCAGCCGGGCGCGGTATATTTCTCCGGGGCCGCTTCCTGCCCCGGCGGAAGCACCGAAACGCCCATCGCGGAATCCCGGGGCACGTTTAACTCCTTGGCCCGGCGTGGCTTCCTATTTATCAGACGGAACGGACTCGAGGACGTCTCGAGCCGATTAACGAGAGTGGACGCGTTAACCGCGTCGGAATTGCAACGCGCGTGCCTCGCGAGGAATGCATATCCAGCCCGGGGCACGCGCGTAGGTGTTAACGAGCGGGATCACGATCGCGTGACCGGCGTCCTTTAGGGCAGCCACGGCGCGCAAACCCTCCTAAAACCTACTCGTAACGTGCTCGAAACTTTTCGAAGCAACGTTGGTCCGCGGAATCTTTTCAAGAGACGAACAAAAGCTGCTCGTCTCGATAATATTTCGCAACGCGTCGTCGCGCGGAAGTCTCGCCGCTAACCGAGCCAATAAAACGAAGGGCGATTTTCTGTTCTCCCGTCGCGAACACCTGTGCACGAGCACACACACACAGAGGCCGGGGGCACGCGTGCAGGCTAAGGCGAGCATATAAGAGCGTAACAAATAACCTTTCCACCTTCGTCGCGCCAGTTTTCCTCCTTCTGCCTCCGTCTTCCGTGGTCTGGTCGCGCCACCGTGGCTGCTATCTCCTCCCCTCCGTTGCTCTGCTTCTCTTTTTTCGCTCTCGTCTCCCCCCCCCCGTTTCCTGGTCCTCCTCTTTTCGACCGCCGCAAATACGTCGAGAAGGACCAGCGAGAGCGGCGAGACGAGAAACTGGTTTCCATGGAAACCGACCAGTCTGTGTCGGGGCGCCTCGGTTCACCGTTCTATCGTCACTTGCGATAGAGACCGACCCACCGAGCGATACGGATCGCGTGAACGTCTCGAAGGACCTTTGCTTACCGACGCGTCTTAAACCGACCTCGGTCGGATCGTCTACGGTGCCACGACCCGTTCTCCATCTCGCCTCGAACCCTACACGTTCCTAGAAATCTACCGATATAGCACGCGATACGTTTAATAAATCGCTTCTCCGCTCGGGTCGCAGACATAATTCAAGATCTCGGTTTAAAGACGCTGGGATCGCGTAGGTACCGGCCAAATCAATTGGCCGCTCGACAACGCTCGATCTCTCTGGTCCAAAGTTTACGACCCTAATTCTAGTTTCTCGATCCCAGCTTCGGCCAGGAGAGCCGGAAGTTCACCGTGAGGGGCCCGCGGAAGAAATTTCCTGGCGGTGGACGGATGCTGGCCGAGCACGGACAGAAGGTTGAACCGCCCCGGTGAAGTTTTCATTAGAGCCGGCCCGATAAACTCGCAAAGACTTTGCCCGCTTGTCCGCCGGATAATCGCAGCAATTATCCATGGACCGATCTGCCTCGAATACCGCGACGGGGAATTTCAAGTTTGCGGTAGTAACTCCGCCAGTACCATCACCGATGCGCGGCAATTCCCGTGACATTAATTATTGAAATCGCCGCCGGCGGCCCTCCCCCTTCTCAGACTTCTCTCGTCCTTTCCGTGCTTCGTCGATTCCACGCTATCTCGAACGTTTCTCTCTCTTTCTGCCCGGTTTTCCTCGCCGTATATACGTACCGCGGTGCCCGTCTCGCTCTCGCTTTCGGACCTCGTAGCTCTCAGCCTCGTTTCCTAGTTCGCAGGAAGTCCCTTGGGCGAAGTTCGCCGGGAAGCAGACAGAGACTCCGCCACTTAATATTCAATCGC